CACACACTCACACACTCACACTCACACGCACACGCACACGCACACGCACACGCACACACACACACACGGAAATGAACCGTTCGTCAGTTGCCAGGACTCTCTGGCTGTGCCATCGGTAGGTTCGCAGAACAGGCTCAACGGAATGCAGACCTGGCCAACCGACGATATTACAAGCAAGTCTCCGAGCTCCCCCTGACTTGGTTATCTCCAACATGGGCAATTTTTTTTTTCGCAAAGCCAAGGAAACACCAGCAGTTATCAACGATGTCACCTACCGCGCCAACCGGCCAGCGACATGATCACGTTCATGAGTGCAAAAGCGAAAGTATGGCACAGCAAGTGGACCGATCCACGATTCTCTTTTCAGTGATTGGAGACAGTTTTTCAACGAGCGTGCGAATTTGCTCATAGCCAACCACGCCCCCGACTGACGTATGACTGATTTAGTGGAGTCTTCGAGATCTTCAGCGCCAAGAAGGGCATGGGAGTGGGGCAAGTAGTCAAAACATATAGCTTGTGGTTACCGCGAGCAGCCAAGGCGTGCCTACTCGACCTGTGCAACACCGTCGAGACCCGGTTTGCCTGGCCTTGGCAGCCCATGCTCAACGTCATTAGTTTTCAGCGCAAATGTTTAGAAGCAGACCGCTGCATTGGATTGGTTTCATGGCTGATCAGGTTCCGGGGCGCCGTGCTTTTATCAGATCGGGCAACGTGGGCGTCGCAGCGATCAGGTGCATGGGGCGCAGCCATCCGGGGGAGTTCTGCGTTAATTGTTACCTTGGCCAGAGTATTCCAGGAAGTGGCTGCAGTGTTGCAGGGCTCGAAGTACCTGCATCGCGTGAGTACCTGTTGGGGCGTCCATGCGTTCCATGATTCCCTTCATTGGGTGCACATCGTCAAGGAGTCGATGGCTTTGGATTTCCCACCCGCATCCCTATATTTGAGATCATTGCCCTTGTGGTCCCAAATTTCATTCGCGAAGCAGGCTGCTTCTCCCATTCCTACGTGCCAACCATAGCTCAGTGGCAGGCGCTAATGCGGCAGTTTATCTCGGAAGGCGTGCCCTAGATTTCATCTGCGAGGCCGCAGGTAACTACCCATTGCAATGGGCAGTATCTTCCTGGGGAGATGAGCTTGCCCAACGCACTGATGGGAATTGCTACAGCGCTTCAGGTTGGCAGAGGCAGGTGCGGCGCTAGCTCGGGGTTTCGCGGCAGCCGGCCATGTGATGTCACGCAAGTGCGCCATCGTATCCTCGCCCACCGAGCTGGCTAAAGCCTTGCGCAACAGACTCAACGAACACCGCAGACCTGTGCGCGCTGAGCTCGTTACTGCGGGCCTAGGTGTTGACCGAGGGCGAGTTGCCTGGGGGCGACCCGAGCAGAAGTCCAGACGCGCCAAGATAGCGAAGCGCACGTTCATAGTTATCAGGTTTTCACGCTCTTCGGCGAGACGCAATCCGGCTGCTGGTCAGTTGTTCGCGTTAGGCGCTATCGCAATGGACAACTGCTGCGGCGACGTCTACGGCGCCCCACCTCATATTCGCGATCGTTGGCGAACCCCCGTGGACAAGCTTGCGCGCTCGAGTGTTGGTAGATGCTTAGCCGCGGCGCTAGCCCTGCGCTCTGGAGACAAGGCCCCCTGGGTCAGGAGCACGTTTAATACCTTTCAGTCTGGGGTGGGCATTCTGGCGGATGCCGCCCTGCCAGCGTCCATGGGCTGTGCAGCTTGGGACAAGGCGTTCTCGCAGATGCAAGTGCCGCCGGAACAGCGATGGGGGAAGGCCATTGGACCTGCGACGGCGACGATTGCCGTTTTATTTGATGTGGATTGAAAATTGTTGGGGCCGGCTGAATAGATTGCTCCAGGTGGAGACCGCTTCTGGGGCCAAATCCAGGGTCGTCGCGGGCAGTTTCTTGACCTGCGTGATCTTCGCGCCGACTAGGCAAAACCTGTGCGCGCGGGGGTGCGTCGCGAGCTTCAGTTAAGCCATGGCAGGCTAAAGACCTTGAGAAGATCCCAGATTTGAGCGACTCCGGGCGACGTCTCCGCAGATTGCGGCAACGAGGCAAACGCCGAGATGCAGGGGCCATGGGGGCGGTATATGCGCGCGGGAGGCACGTGGACTTTGGGGCGCAGTCATGCGCGTGGGTATTCCAGCGAGATTGGCTTGCGTGGGCGATGCTGGGCGGCCGTTGAAACGCATGGGCGCGTTTATTGGGGGCTGTGGATGCAACGACAATGTCTCGAGTATTTCCGAAGCCCTCCGCCAGGAAGGAGTAGAGCTGATCGAGGCCATCGCCTTCCCCCCCTTTGGCGTCGAGGGATGGTGCCTAGCGACTGGCGCCCAGTCCAGCGACCGCCAGATGAACCATTGCGGGTCCAGCAGGGAGCTCAACGCCTATCATGCATTTTTCCGCGCGCTCAACGCATCGTTGCTGGTGGTGATGCAAGTGGACGGCTTCGGCGCGTTGCATGGGCCGCGGTTTTTCATAGCAGATTCACTCGACGCATCAGGACAAACTCTACTTCAAGGCAAACCAATCACACAACGCATGGATGGTGGTGGTCTTCCAGGGGATAGATGACCATTGACAGATGCGAGCTGACAGCTCTCATCGCGGCGCTCACTACCGCCACTGGTTGCAAGCAGGTAGCGCATGTTACTGAACCCGCATAAGTTGTTTGTGGTTTTGATACATGCCTTGCCGGGCTGAAAGCATACTTCAGATCAGTATCTATGGTATCTAGTCAAGAAATGTTGTGATCAGTGTCCTTCGCAACGTCGTCCTGATCAAGACAGGGGTCTCTTATGGCCCCCCGGGTGCAATTTCGAGAGGCGCCGACCTGGTCTACATCTTGGCAAACGATGCGGCAGACGAAGCAGCGGAGCACCTGGCAGAGCACATTGCAGCATCTGGTTCTGATTCGAACACAGCGGAATTTATTGGTGTAGCGGGGGGCGCTATCAGATCACACCTTGCCGAAGTATTCACCGATGTGGTCAAATATAAAGCACCCGAAGCGCAGAAACCGATCGCCAAGAAAGTGGAATTCACGAAGCTAGAGAGCACTGATCGCAGCTCATTGGTTTGGAGAATCGTAGGTTGCGATGCTTGGATTGTGGCAAGAGTGCCCCATCGACCATCAGCAATTAGATTCTCAGCGAGCCTTGCAGATTGGGGCTCGCCAGTTGGAGATGTGCCAAGCCCTTCAGATCACATGCGACTGTGAGTTCACCCAGTAAGGTTCACCCCGCGCGCAGCTTGATCTCGGCGGAAGATCTCAATATGGCTATATGTTCGGTGCGTGTGGGAACTATGTCGCCAAACGAGTGGTCAATCTTGTCAAGCCCTGCGTGCCCGAAGGAGGCCCGTCTGCGACAAGGTGGATGCATAATCTCAAGCGGGTTCACTTGGGTATTCATCCGACCCAGCCTCTTGGTGACAGTTCTCATAGAAGAAGGCGGAAGACGAACCGTGCGACCAAACGCGCGAACACCGGCGCATCGCGCGAGCAGCTGCGGCAAATGCGTAAAGCTCTCAGAACGGACACATCACCAATGGGTACTACGCGAAGATTTCCAAGCACCGACGCAGCACCTTCGGCGGCTACGATTACCCAGCACGCGAGCACCGCCGTCCTGAGCATCGCGGTGCGCTCCGAATAAATCTTCAGACGCCACGCGTCTTTTGCAATATTCGCCAGGAGATTCTGACTGATGTGCTGTGCGCGTCATTCCGTCCGACGGGACCCGTGATGAATGCATGCCTCGCTGGCCAAGAGCGTTGGTCGAGGCGCTTCACGCGAATGACACGAGTAACGCGACACATCAACAACACTTCTGTACCCCTGGGTGGTATAAAGAAACAGAAGTGATGATGATGCTGTTGTTGCCGATGATTAGGATGATGCAGCTGATGATGCTGCTGGTGATACTGATGATGCTAGTGCTGATGATGCTGATGCTGGTGGTGCGGATGCTGATGCGGATGGTGCTGATGATGATGCTCATACTGATGACGATTGTGATGGCGATGATGGAGGTGAATCTGATGGTGTTGGCAGGGGGGATGCGGATTCTGATGATGAGGAGGCTGGTGCTGACGAGTACGACGACGATTATGATGACGATGATGACGATGATGCTGATGCGGGTGATACTCATACTGGTGATGATGCTGGTAATGATGCTGCTGTTGATGATGATGCAGCTGATGATCATGACCATGTTGACGATTATGCTGATGATGGTGATGTTGTTGATGATGATGCGGGTGATGATGCGGATGATGTTGATGATGCGGACTATGCTGATGATGCTGATGATGCTGAGGATGATGCTGATGATTCGGGTGATGCTGGTGATGATGATGACTACGACGGCGACGATGATGATGACGATGACGACGATGATGCGGATGCTGATGCTTATGATGATGCTGATGACGACGATGATGCTGATGATGATGATGCTTATGCGGATGCTGATTCTGGTGATGATGCTGATGATGCTGATGATGCTGAGGAGCCGGATGAAGAGGAGGAGGAGGAGAAAGCAGAGGCGGATGAGGAGGAGGAGGAGGAGGACGAGGACGAGGAGAGACGCGGGGAGGGGAGGGGGATTGCGAGGATGAGGGTGATGGGGGGGTGCAGCAGCATCAGGAGGGGGACAAGGATGATCAACCTGACGCAAAGTAAGAAGGACAGGGTGACGAGGAGAATTGGGTGGAAGTGAATGGGGAGTGGGGGTGGCAGGGCGTGTGTTCATGTCTTTTCAGGCTATACTCCAGGGGAGGATGCCCCACATGAAGATCGTGCTGATGAGTGCCACGCTCAAGGCTGGTCGTCCTTTGCTGCGGACGCGAGGAGCAGGATGGGGACGAGGGGGGCGAGTGATGAGTCGGAAATGATAGGATTCATTGTTTCCAGCTGCCTGTGGCGCAAGACCCTGCCAGTCACTGCGCCAGCTCAGCATCGGCATGCGACTATGGGACATGATGAGCAGAAACCTCATGCGCCCATCAGAAATCGTACAGGCGAGAAGGTCAACATCTTCCAAGCAGCGCTTGCACTGACTGCCTTCTCATTCCGATTGTCTACACACTTGCCTCTGGTCGTCGTCGATTTCCTTCGCTTGGGGCTTGTTCCCAACTGTCCTGGGTCTGGTTCCATTTAGTGGTTGTCACCGATCTCCTTCATTCGGCTTTGTCCCAACCTTTTTTGTTTCGATTCTGTGTAATGATGGTAGCAGTTTTTCCGGGGAGTGGGGCGACTCTTTTTTCACGAGCCAAACTGACTGGGCTGGACTGGATTGGTCGCTCCCGTTACCAGGCCGTCTTGCCGCTGAGTGTGAAACCCATGCCGCACATAATAACAGGCCGTTTTATGGTCGGCCCCGCTGTGTGCTCAAGTTCTGGCGCGCCAACTGGCCTGCAGTTTCGTTCTTTGCCGCCGGATGCGCAAGCTATGGTCGAACCACCAGCAGGCGGTTTTATCATCGGCCGCTGAGTGCGCAACCTATGCCACAACCAGCGGCAGACGATTTTATTCTCGGCCGCCACGCCAGGTGTGCAACCGATGGCGCACGCAATAGCAGTTTGTTAGATTTCCAGCCGCCAGGTGCGCAACTTGTCTCGCAACCATTGGGAGGTACTTTAATTTTCGTTCGCCGAATGCGCAACCTGTGGCGCAACCAATATCAGGCCGTTTTATTCTCGGCAGACGAGTGCGTAACTACTGGCGCAACCAATAGCCTCCGCCGAGTGCGCATCTTACAGGCGCAACCCATACGAGGCGGTTTTAGCGCGCCATGCTGCTGGAGGAGAAAACTCTCGGCCGCCAGGTGCAGAATCTAAGGTGCAACCAACAGCGGGCCGTTTTACAACTGACCATTTCAATCGTTCGGCCTCGATCCCGACTCCCTGGCCCGCCCCGTGCTCTGGCTTTCGCCAGCTAACCTCGTTCGACCCCCTGTCCCCAAGTATCCGCGGCCCTGTCCCCGTGCCCCTGCCGTCGCCGATTTCTTGGGGGGAGGGGCCTTGCGTCAGGGCGCCCGCCCGCATTGGAGAACGGTGTGTCGCGGAAGGGTTAACATGGCTTAGGGCACGTGGATTAGATCTTTGGACCACGCATTGTGGCACACACTGGGGCACGCATTGGGAACACGAGTTGGTTAACATGACGGTCGTGTTTCCATAACCTCGGCGAGCTCCGTCGCGAAATCATGCGGCATTGGCCTCATGTTTCGCCCCGATCAGTGGATCTGGCGCCCACGCGCCAGATCTATGGATCCGTAATCCGTGTTGGCGTGTGCCCGAGTGTAGGGTGTGCCAGCTGTGACTGCTCAGAGCACATTCCCATCCCCGAAGCTGGGTGCCAAGATTTGCGCACGGGCAGTCCCGCGGCGCGTCCCTTTCTGACTGCTTACTTGGCTGTGCATCTTGTGTCTGCAGAGCGTCGCGGCCGTGGTGTTTGGGATGTCGCCAAGTGAAGTGCAGCGAAATTAATGGGAAGAAGTGCAGTGGCAAGCCACTTTTCCAGAGGTGGTTTTTACAGCTACCCGGCCTCTGAGTACATAATTGCTCTTAGACGTGCGCCACTTTACATTGAAGGGATTGCTGATGGTTTTGAACACGTCGAATAATGGGAAAACAGCTGGTCCTGATGATCTACTTCCTGGTTGCTGGAAGGTTTTGACTACATATGTACACGCTACCTACTCGATTGAACGTTTGCCAACGATGTTGGACCGGTAGAGACACACCAGAACAAATGGCGCATGGCGATCATCATTCTGCTTTCCAGGAAAGGAGACGCACTTCTACCAAACAATTATCGCGCGATTTCGTTGCTGTCGGTGGGATACAAAGCCCTTGCGGCGATATCGCACCAGCGACTGCTTCAAAGAGGAGCATACGTTTAAATTTGACATTCAAAGTTTTGATTCCAGCCTCGCCGGGGCACCGCCGACTCGCTCATGCTTGCGAGGCGCATGATCGACGCAGCACAAGTGAATGATAACGGTGGCGACTCATTGAGTGTGCCAAGGCGCTCGACCAATTGAGATAGTTGTGTTGCCGCATCCTCACGTGCAAATGATCAGACAATCTCATTATCGTCGGTATTTCATTGTAGTGGACCATTGTGGTAAATCGTCGCAACGACGCCAAGCTCCTCCATTGCGCAGGGGCGCCTGTTGTCACAGTGTTTCCATTATTGTGAAAACGGTGATGATGCAGGCCGTTTTGTCCAGCTTGGCTCAGGCTATACGGTCTCCAGGTATGTTCAACATGTTGACGACCTTGCGCTAGCATCTCCACGTGCTGGAAGCTTGCAGCCCATGCTGGACGCAATTGTGGCCGAGGGGCGCAGACACGGATTGGAAATACATCGGGGCACGACGTTTCAGTTACAAATTCCCCAATCAGAGCTTGCCTCTGTAGGGGTTCTAGCGGATTCATATGCTTAGGTTAGGTTTGTCGCCGATTTTCGCTGCAAGCCCGGGTTCCTGGGTGCCCAGGGGTGCCCGGGGCCCGGGGGCCCTGGGGGTGCTTGGGGGTGCCCGGGTGCCCGGGCGTGCCCAGGGGTGCTCTATAGCCCTATAGCCTTAAGCCCTATAGCCTTAAGCCCTATAGCCCTATAGCCCTACAGCCCTATAGCCCTATAGCCCAATGGCCCTATAGCTATACCACTCTATAGCCCCATAGCTCTATAGCCCTATAGCTCAATAGCCCTATAGCCCTATAGCCCTATAGCCCTGGTTGGGGCTTCTCTCCGGAATCATTGGTTGTGTTTTATTATCGAAATCGCCAGATGGGGTGTCAATCGAGATTGTGATGGAAAGTAAATGACAGGGGGGCTTGGGCCGTCGTTGCCCATGGCGGACGCGTCGGCAATGAGTCATCGAAGCGCGTAAGCAACTTGCTAAATTGTGGTGCGCCCCGCAGTTGGTGGGCGACGCAATACATTCATATACAACAGTTGCTTGCTTAGCAAATTTATGTATTCATTGGATTCGCTGCGGCTTTTAAAGCATGACAGAGACAGGTTCGACGCATTCCATTGCACATGCTTGTTCATATTTTAACGCAGATCGCCTTCTTGCATCTCGCGCTTCAGCAATGTGGACGTATCGGAGACCAGGGGTTTTGATGCCAGCGGGTCGCTCGCGAAGCGCGTTGTGTGCAATCGTGACGGCGCGCACACTAATAGGGCTGACCGCAGGCGCCGGGGGCGCCCCAGACACCAATGGGCCAATGGGCAACCTCCGTGTCTAACGCGGCATATCCGTTTTGTGACGTTCCGCACGCACGCGGGACTGCGAACCGGCCGGGCCGTGCGCATCCCGAATTTCATAGTGCCGCGTTAGCCAGTGGCTCCGCCTGTTTGTCCGAGCGAGAGTTTGCTGTCGAGTGGATTTCAACGAGCCGTCGGCCAGGTGACGGCCTGGAGGTGCTGGTTATGGACGAAAGACTCTCTTTCGTCCTGGGGGCGGGAGTACCTCCTCTGGTGCGCGCGACACATGCGCCTGTTGATGCTGGCCTGCATGTCGGAGATCCGGAAAAAAACAGGCACCCAGCCGCAAGGAAAGGACAAATGATGGTCGGCTCAAAGATGTGACCCTGAGGGATGGGGCCCCAAGAGTGGCAAATGGGCCCTTATTCGCTTCCTTAGGGCCGTAAGCCTCCAGAACCTCAGCCTTGAACCGCCAGAATGACATCCATGCGCTTCGTTTCGAAGAGACAGCGCCCGCTCCCGCTCACGCTCCTCCTCCCCCTCTTCCCTCCTCCTTTTCATCATCATCATCATCATCATCATCATCATCATCATCATCATCATCATCATCATCATCATCATCATCATCATCGTCATCATCCTCCATTTCGGCACACCCCTCACACGTTTCGTGGCCCCATAGGGAACCCCACTGAAGGCCCCAGTGCTGCCGCCCGCATGCGTCCCGCACACCCAATTCGGCACACCCCTCACACGTTTCGTGGCCCCATAGGGAACCCCACCGAAAGCCCCAGTGGCGGCGCCCGCATGCGTCGCGCACACCCAATTCGGCACACCCCTCACACGTTTCGTGGCCCCATAGGGAGCCCCACCGAAGTGCTGCCGCCCGCATGCGTCCCGCACACCCAATTCGGCACACCCCTCACACGCTTCGTGGCCCCATAGGGAGCTCCACCGAAGGCCCCAGTGCTGCCGCCCGCATGCGTCCCGCACACCCAATTCGGCACACCCCTCACACGTTTCGTGGCCCCATAGGGAGCCCCACCGAAGGAGTGCTGCCGCCCGCATGCGTCCCCACCGACAGGCCCATAGTGCTGCTGCCGCCCGCATGCGTCCCGCACACCCAATTCGGCACACCCCTCACACGCTTCGTGGCCCCATAGGGAGCTGCACCGAAGGCCCCAGTGCTGCCGCCCGCATGCGTCCTGTACACCCAATTCGGCACACCCCTCACACGTTTCGTGGCCCCATAGGAAGCTCCACCGAAGGCCCCAGTGCTGCCGCCCGCATGCGTCATGCACACCCACTTCGGCACACCTCTCACACGTTTCGTGGCCCCATAGGAAGCTCCACCGATAGCCCCAGTGGCGGCGCTCACATGCGCATGCGTCCCGCATACCCATTTCGGCACATCCCTGACAGGTTTCGTGGCCCCATCATCCACCGGAGCCCCCAGTGGCGGCGCTCACATGCATCACCCACACCCACCCAATTCGGCACACCCCTCACACGTTTCGTGGCCCCATAGGGAGCTCCACCGAAGGCCCCAGCGGCCGCGCTCACATGCGTCCCCGCCACCCATCCCGGCACGCCCCTCACAACA